CCGGCTAACCTAACCGAAGTTACTATTTGTGCCTGCGTTCTACAGCCCTAGGTTGACCGCAGATTCGCGAAACTGTTAACGGAACCTTAGCCTTGGCCTCTCCACTGTATCGCACGACATATTATTGTTTCTATCCCTGTATTGGAAACAATTGGAAATCTAGTAGGGTTGAAATCGTAATGTGTCGTGTCAGCCTTGTATGTATGTTGAAAGATGGCAAGCATACGTCATGCCTCAAATATGGTCAATGTGATGACAAAGTTTGTTGTTCTACGAGCTGTCCGTTCGTCTGCTTCAAAATCCAGACCAAGAAAGTAAACAGACAGCGCAAGAACGGTTCAATTACAATTACATCTCAATTTCCAGTTCTAGATCAAAGGAAATACACGTTTGCCGACATTCCAGCTCCTCTCTCGCCTGCCTTCTTCTGGGAAAAGGCACATTTCTAGTTTCTTCTTACCTATTTGGAGGGGGGTCATTGGCACAGCGTCGTAAAATCGGTTTCAAATTTCAAAGGTGCTATATTCGATTCTCAAAAAATCCTCTCAACCGTTATTCCCTTGAGTATGGAATTCATCCTGTGCAGCGTCGGTGTAACCAGCCTATTAACGGGCAGCACGTCGTCGACCTGCAAAAAATGGGGACGGTGTTCTGTTGTTGGCATCCCGGAATAGAAGAAAGGACGAGAGGCTGTCTGATGTCTACATTTTAGAGCTAAAATTTACCTTACGCTCTGTGATAGCTTCATCAGTATTGTGATAAGCATCAGAAGGTGCAAACCTTGTCGATGCTATTTGTTGTAGAAATTCTGGAGGTCTTGGTTGACGTTGGTGTCGTCTGCATCAGAGGGCCGCAGGGCCGGTACGTATGTATCGTACGATTGACCAGTTTATTGAATTGTTTATAATTAAATCACTTTTTCCTCTATGTTCCAAGCCATTCAGGGAAATGGCAAAATGGCAGGCAGCCAACTTATTGCAGCATATGGTTCTATTAAACAATATAAGCGTTAGAAACAAACAGGGAGGGATGAAGGGCAATAAATAATGCAAATCATTGCATGAATGGGGAAATATGCCTGACGTCGTTCCAGTCGAGAATA